GTTCAGTGACAGTGGCTCGGCACCCGGCTGCTGTGCAACGTTTCGCAGGTTCGATTGTTGCACAGAGCAGCTCCTTGTGTGATCGAAAAAGTTAGCTTTAGTTGAAATAAATGCAGAAAAGGTCAATTTGTAGTCGACAAAAAAAAACGTTTAAGGCAACACAAGATTTTCAAAAAGTTATTTTTCTCGTCACACTGAATGATGTAGACGCTGCGACTTATTCACTTTGTTAGCAATTTTATTTATTTTCAATGCACTTTACTCTTAACAATGCTCATATTTCCGTAAAGCTTTTAATTAATAAAGAATATAATTGCTTTGTCACCACAACTGTTATTTATAACAATATACCTAATGGAATCCAGATACTATCTTAAAAAAATATGATACAACCTGCCATTGTGTTCTGCAAAGTAAAGATGTATGTACTTTAAAATTGTAGATACATCTGAGAGTACTACTCTTTGTATCATTTGGCTCATTACCGTTACATTAACTCTAAACAAAGAGGAATACGAATTAAGAAGAATGCATGACGGAACTATCCTCCTCACGTCCTAGCCACCACAGTACGAGATACTCCGGGCGTCGGGGATCACGTATGTGGACGGCGAGCAACAATAGCTTACCGTCTACCAGAACTACACCGGGTGGCGTGTCGAGTTCCGCGCGTCCCTCAAACGAGTGAATACACGACCAGAAAACGCTGCCCAATAGGGCAAATGTTCAGTGCGCAATAATGTTACGCAGCTTTGAATTGGAACAGGAGAAAGAATGGGGTGGTTTTGAGTCAGCGCGAGTTTTTTCAGACACTAAGAGCTTATTACAAAATATACCTAATATATTTTCATAAGGAGAAGAACGAGCTAGAATCTAGAAACTGAACTTAGTATTAAACTCTCCACGGAATACGAAATAGTTTTCTATAATTAAGATGACTAGACTTATCTTCGATTCATTGTGTCGAGTGTTGAAAACACGGCGGAATAAAAATGAAACTGTTCCAAAGATCGACCGCAGAAAGCCTTCCACAGAATTGAATGGTAAGAATTATATTGTCTGTGTTTTTTGAATAAAAAAGGACGACACAGATAAAATTAGAGAGAAGAATATATACGAAAAACCTACTCCAAAGAAAAAGAGGACTCCTTTGTTCAGTAGTTGACGTATACCGTTCAATAACGATGCAATTGCACGAATTATGCAAATAAAAAACCTGTACCTGACACAGTGTTGGGTGGGTGGTAATATAAATAAAGACAAATCGAATACTAATTTTAGTTACTGAACAAAAAAGGCATAAGTACTAGAATGTATCATTTATTGTATGCACTATTGATCTAATCAGATTCGTAATGACAGTGCAATTAGCCTTGACAGACCAAGTAATCTACGAGTGCAGAGTTAATGTGCTTGAAAAGTGCATTCATTAATATTAATATAATCATAATAATATTATTATATTAATATTATAATATTATGATATTGTAAGTACTTGCTAACTTTTTATTTATTAAGCACGCGAAATATTGAGTAATGCAAGATGTTTTATTGAATATAGTTTTCTGATTACTTACTTATAAAATAGTAGTAAAACGTACCTACGTGTATATGTACACGTAATATCAAGTTCTTATACATAATAGAGTATTTTTCCCATTTGTTTAAAAATGATTTAAATCCAGGTGCAGATAGCGGCTTTTTATTTTCGATAGGTATGAAGAGAATCGGTACTTATGTATTAACATGAGCAAAGATTTATTTTACTCAATACATTTACCTACATAATTACGCTTATCAGTGAGACTTTTATGTATTTATTGCTATACTATTAATACATTCTTAATTGTTAATTACATCCCAAACACATAAAAATAAGTAAATATATAGGTATATTAGTAGGTATGTTATAAACTCTTTATATATTGCGATATAATGGATACCAGTAGTTACGAAAAGCATTTAAATAAAATGAAAATTACATTTAAAAGAACGTTTATTTCATGAAATAAAAAATATTAAGTACTTTGTGCAGTAATAAATTTAAGTGATAAATAGTTTTTATGGTGCTTTGACAAGTAGGTTACTGAGTAAATTGTTTAAAATAATGTTAGTGGTTCATAGGAATCTTTTCGTCTAGCCTTTTTTTTTTTTTTTTTGTGAGGGGAAAATCATCAAATGACTTCTCCCGCCCAGGGCCGGGCAGGAGGGAGTGTCAGACTCTTACTGACTAAAAACCCCCCTGTTCCTTCTCCTGCTCTGTGCCGAGGTCGCGGTACCTTATTGCGCTTACCCCGCAACCCCGGCTGAACATCAGCCCTTTAGGGCCCCGTCTGTGGTGGTCTATTGGCTCTTTGAGGCGCGCGCGGAACGCTACGCGCCGTACGCTCGGGCCTGGTTCTGGTCGGGCGGCGAGCTGCCCTTACTCGCCGACCGCAGGCCCGTACTTACGGTGGCCGGAGATCGTCCCTCGATCCCCGACGCCCGTAGTGTCGCCAGTTGCGGCTGCTGGGGCGTGAGGAGGAGGATTGCTCCCTCACGCGGGCCGCCTCTCTCTTTGCGAGCATGACTGCTTCACAAAAGGAGGAGACGGCGTCCCAGTTCCTCTCACTCCGCACCATGGCCTCGACTAAGGCCGGGCGCGAGAGGTCGCCGCCGCCGATCACTTCCCTGAGGATACGGCGGTGCTCAGCCCAGGCAGGGCATACCGCTACCGTATGCTCCACCGTATCCTCTAGGCGGTCCTCACAATGACGACACTCGGGCGTTTCCTCCCGCTGAATCCGAAACAGGAACCTACCGAAGCTGCCGTGCCCGGTAAGCACCTGCGTCAGACGGAAGGTGAGGACGCCGTGGCGTCTCTCAAGCCACTCCTCAAAGAGGGGTCTTACCGCTGCTATGGTAGCGTGCCCGGCCCTCGGTTGCGACAGTCGCTGTCTCCACTCTGCCATGAGATCTCGCCGGAGCTCATTCCGCCACGCACTTATTTGGCGCGGCAAAGGATCTTCGCCCCGGCTACGCGCGTCTGCGCGCAAACTGTAGACGCGCGCGAGCGCCTTCGCTTCTAGATCCCACGGCGGTGATCCGGCAAGGAGGTTCGCCGCCTCCCCGGAGATCGTGCGATACCCGCGGATTACTCGTATAGCCATGACCCCCTGGGACGCGACCAGCGTACGAGCCGGCCGCCGCTTCAAGTCCGGCGCCCACACAGGGGCACCGTAGAGGGCCATGGATCGCACAATTCCCATATACAACCTCCGGCAGGAGGCGTTTGGCCCCCCGAGGTTGGGAAGGAGCCGCTTGAGCGCGGCCCCAGACCGTTCCAACTTAGGGGCCAAACGACGAAAATGCTCCGTGAAGTTCCATCGGCTGTCGAGGACGAGACCCAGGTACTTCATCGCCGACTCGACGCCGATGGTAACTCCTCCTGCCGTTACTTGGGACCCACCTGGAGGTGGCGCGCTCCGACGGCCATAGAAGCACATGGCCTCGGACTTGTGGAGCGCCACCTCGAGTCCCAACTGCCGGATCCTTGCAACGACTGTCGCAACCGCTTGTGACATCAGGTCGGCCGCCGCCTGATGCGACCTCCCGTTCGCCAGCACCAGCGTGTCGTCAGCATAGCAGACAATGCTGACGCCGCTCGGGAGGTCGGTGCGTAGCACCCAATCGTACCCGATGTTCCACAGGAGAGGTCCCAGGACCGATCCCTGTGGGACACCGCGCGACACCTCTCGCCGATTCCACACGCCCCGGTGACCGGGGTAGATGACACATCTGTCCGTCAAGTAAGCCTCGACTACACGACGGAGATAGGCAGGCACCCGGTGGTACCGGAGTGCCTCCAAAATGCAGCTCCAGGGCAGCGAGTTAAAGGCGTTGGCGATGTCCAGAGACACCGCCACGACGACTCGCCTCCCGGCCAACGCTGTCCCCGTCGTGAGGTCCCTCACGCGCATGATGGCGTCCACCGTGGAGCGCCCTCTGCGGAAGCCGAACTGGCCGTCCGCTAAATCCGGCCACCTTCCAGACAGGTGCCCGACGAGGCGGTCTGAGATTATCCTCTCGAACAGCTTTCCCACCTCGTCGAGCAGCACAATGGGCCGGTACGCGGACGGAGAGTCCGCAGGACGCCCCGGCTTCTTCACGAGGACCAGTTTACCCGTCTTCCACGACAGCGGAAACTGGCCTCTCTCCAAACATGCGCTGAACAGACCAAGTAGTCGAGGCCTGAGAGCCTCCGAGGCCAGGACCCAGACCTTGGCATGCAGCCCGTCAGGTCCTGGGGCGGTATTCTTGCCGCTCAGCCGGCGCACCGCCACTCTCAAATCTACCTCGGTCACTTCCGGAGCGGATTCGTCGTCGTCGTCGATGTAGCCCGCATTGGGCACCGCAGGGGGCGGGGGCATAGCCGGAGGCGTGTAACCCATCTGTGGTCGGGGGAATAGCGCCCCAACCACTTCGTCCACGACCTCCGGCCGGAGACTCTGAGTCAGTGGGGGCGCCCAGGTGCGGAGCTTATCACGCACCATCCGGTAGGGGCGTCCCCACGGGTCTCTGTTCAGAGTCTCCAACATCTCCTCGCGGGCCCGATCTTTGGCCCGCCGGATCTCCACCCTGAGGGTGGCCTTCGCCGCCCTGTACTCCTCGTATAGCTCCGCCTCTCTGGTTTCGGCGTCCAGAGGGCGGAGACGGAGCCTGCGGTGCCTGGTGTATCGGCGTCGCGCTGCGGTGCACTCACCGCGCAGGTCTGCCAATTCCTTCGTCTAGCCTCTGATGTTTATTTTTCGTGTTAAGCCGTCATGTTCAGTAATGGTTTTTATATATAAGTAGGTGTTTAAAAAGTCACCTCTTATTTTAAATTAAACTTATAAAATAAACCCCTAAGTATCATGGATTCGTTCACTCTTTCTAGTATGTCTCGAGATAGTTACTATTCAAAAATATTATGAAATTAAAGCATTAAATTACATTGATTCTCTCTACCTCTCTTCTCTTCTTTAAGCAGTAATCAAAGTGAAGAAGGAGTAAGAGGTTTGCATGATAGACTTGAACAGCTCCATATTGAAGACCACCAGGCCCATCCCAGTGACTACCATCTCCTTCTGGGCCTTGGTGATCATGAAGATCAGCAGTTTGGTGACCTCAGGGTCCGCCCACACTTCCCAGTCCACTACGTACAAGTCGTTTGGAATTTCTTCACTGACCTGAAAGGAATAAAGCACATTTTAGCGATTTGCATGTAAGTATGGGAGAGCCTTGCTCCTACATAAATTGGCCGGCTCGATCGGACTGATAACACAGCCATCACAGAATATTAGCGTGTAACACCCACAGCGCTGGATTTCGCCGGGTACGTGAGGTTACTGGAGTCCCAATCCTTCCCCTCCCCAATCTCTAAATCTCCCAAATCTCTAATCCCCAAAAGGTCGGCAACGCACTCGTAACTCCTCTGTTGTTGCGGGTGTCCATGGACGGCGCTGCTCGTTTGCCGACCTATCACATAAAAAATAAGCACATTTACAAATCTGTAAGCTCGCATTTCCGAAGCCTTTTTTTGTAATATTACCAGAAAACCTAACTAGTTTTAATATTTCGTCCATCCCATTCCCAATCCTCATCGAATCCTCTAACGGTCTCCCTAACAACCCGCAAAATGTCGGCCCCGTACTTGTACTATTCCTGTGTTGTGGGTGTCCTTGGGCGGCGTCAACAGCTTACCATCAGGCGATAAGTCGGCTCGTTCGCTATCCCATAAAATACTTTTAAAATCTTATTATTGTATACTCATAAAGATTGGTAGGTATTACATACTTTAGAGACACTGTTAAACCTTTGACTGCCGACAGAAAACTGTTAAAGGCAAATCCTCAGCTAACGGAGGTTACCGGTGGTTATAGATTTCTAAATAATTAATTATGTGATAAAAATCCGTCTCTGAATTTATAACTTAATTCTAAGTGTCTTTTATATACAAAATAGCTATAATAATATATGTAAAAAATAATTTAGTATCTACCGACATATCTTCATAAAAATCATACGTTAATACATATAGTAAGCTTACATATACATAGTATATTTACATAGTATATTTCAACTTATCCGCACGTTACAGATCGGTACCTAAGTAAGTGCTATGTCGAAGTACTTGATTTAATAAATCACGGCTGTACTATAACCAGTTCTTACATCTTGATAGTCGTTATGAACACACAGCTTATGGTCTTGCTAATGTTCTCATTACTAGAAGGTAATCATTAGCTACTGGATAAACACTATCTATTTGATCTAACAACGGTTGCGTTGTAATATATCCTTGTTGGCTAATTCTAATTTTTGTTTAAGGAAACAATACACGGTTTGGATTTATGCCAATCATTTTACCGTACAAATACTTTCAGCTCTATCTTTTCATCGAGGGTTGTGGATGCAAGTGCAATAATTTACCGCGGCACCACGGCCCGCAGCCTTGAAGACCTACCATGAAGCAGGGTATCTTTCGGGCGACAAGGAGAGATGGAGCTATGCACCTTTTATAGCTCTATCCCTCTTTCTCGCCTGGAAGATTCACGCTTTAACACGTCATTGTAGGCCCTCTGAGCAAAAGAAGAAACACCTTGGTTTTTAGTCAGTAAGAGTCTGACAGTTGCCCGTTGATGCCCCCTAGGGCGTCATTAGATGATGCTCCGTCCTCAAATAAATTCTATCATTTCATATACATACATACTTACAGCTTTTTTTCTTGGCAACTAATAGCTGTCCAAAAAACACAATTGTATGTTCAAAGAGATTAATTAATACCAATTTCATTGTAGACAAACTAGAGACTTGAAATAATTGAAAAAATAAGGAAATTCTTACCCCAGAAGGCCGTCAAAGAATAAATTAATTTGGTATTTCTGATATAAGCAGTACTTCCGTCGATTAACAGTAGCCTACGGGTAATTACTAAAGCAGTAAGCGAATGTAATTAAGAACAGAAATCAATCACCTACCTTAGTTAAGGAGCTCGCATACTGACATGGCAAGTAAATGTGCAATACGCCGACCACCCCGAATGACGTGTACTTTGGATCTATCCGCTGTAGTAAATATATTTGGTACAAGTTGAACGATATCAGGAAAGACGTAAGTAGAAATACAGCAAATAACCAAGGTCCAAATACGTTTTGGGTTTGAACATAAAAGTCTAACGCATCTTGGTGGTCTCTGATTGCCTCATTCATTTTCATTCGCAATTCATATTTGTTTTTCGAATACTTAAAAGCATCGCTGACTTTTAACGCCATCAACTTTAGCTTCAGCTGTAGATGTGTTGTCGCTATGCAGAAAGAGCCATCAAATGCGCAGTAATTGGGAACAAGAACAACGCATTGGACGCAGTTATAGGCAAACATACACTGAAAGAAAGGTGTTTCACTCTGTATGTCTTCTACGTAAAGCAGTTCCATGTCGTGTACCATACGTCTCTGGTAATCATCAGTCTGTATGCTCTCTATACTCATTAAGGTTCCAGCATAAATAGGGAACAAAGCACTCATGAGTACAGGAACCAGCAGCCAGGATATCTCCCCAACTTTTGCTATTTTGATATGTTCGTCGTACAGTTTTTGCTGTCGTTCTCCCAAATTGTTGGCTTCTAGAAGGTCTTCAGATATTTTATCGAGTAATGGAGCAAACTTTTGGGTTGCATAGATAGCATAATACGTTTTAACGAAAAACAGAATAAGAACGACGGCTAGTGTCATGTTTCTCGCGAAGTTGTAGAGGTCCAAGGTATAGAGGCATTTGAAGGTGTAAGTGATGAACCAGAAAAGTTGGCCACCACAGAAGGTGACAATTAAAGTGATGGTCAAGCATCTCTTCAGGGCTGTTTTCCTGTTAGGGTACAGGAAAGCAAATGCTAACGAGAAGGCACAAAGTTTAAAGGTTTCGTTGAACCCTTTGTACTTTTTCTCTATCGGGATGGTTGTTTTGATTTCCATGTTGCTTCTTTTGTTGTAGCAGTATTAAAACGTGAGGTGGTTATAAGAAACCTACAGTAAGTGCGAAATAAGTAAGTGTGTACCACCATATTAAGGGCAATCACGCCATAAATTACGAAGCAATTTATTAGTAGTAAATCACCAGCTAAGGTGTAACACCTCGTAATTTAGACACACTTGTTTTCAGCACTTTGTGTTCGCATTATTATGTTGCAGTTATTTTTTCTTATACTTGTTTTATAATTCGTATTTACTCGAAGCTTAGTTTTTATTTTATTGTAAAACAAAACGGTAGCTCGAATATTTTTAGATTGTGAGTAAATAAATTAATTTTCGTCATACTCATACTTAGATAATATAAAAGGTATTCAACTCAATAGATTCGCTTCTATAACACGAAACTCAAGATGAGATATGAACATCCTCTTCGAAAAATAAACAACATGACACACGACATCATGTTCTTCAAATTCAGTTATTTTTTTTTCGCAATATGTGAAATTCCGTACAGACTGTTGCTACTTTCCAAAATACTTAAAAGGCTTTAGATACATAAACGGTTTGCTCATATCCGAGGCACAAAAATAAGATGCTGATCGCCATTTGAAGAAGCTGTGGACTTTTTTTTCTTTCTAAATAGATACATAATTATTCATGTAATATTTTGATATGTAAGTGTTTTTGTTCCGTAATAAATAAATTGTGTGGAAGATACATTCTTAGTGTGTGAGAGCCATGCTTCGGCAGTTCGGAGTAAGACCACGGCCTCACAGAAAACCGGCATAAATCGTTGTGTGAGTACCGGAACAACAATCCTTTTTTTTTCTCCCCCAATCATAAAATCACCGATACTCCAATCCTCAAAAGGCCGGCAATCCTCAAAAGGCCGGCAAAGCACTTTCATACACACACACACACACGGGTGACGCCGTTTGCTTGCCATCAGATAATTCGTATACTGGAGTAAAACAGTAGAGAGTATTAAAAACAGTCAATCAATCCAATAATTCTTTGTGTGATCCATAAACTGTTGTTCCGGGTTTAGGTGTGATGTGTATGTGAAATTGTATGTTTGTAAACGCACCCATGACACGGGAGAAAGTCCTAGTGTGGGGCAACGATTTCATAAAATAAAAAATAAACGAATAAAAATATATTCAAGTGTTTTCTTAGATGTATTTATTAGTATACTACCTGAATACTCACTGTATAATACAATTAGTGTATGGATACTATATAAAAAGTAAGTGAATGTAGCACCGTCCAGTTTTCGACGTTGCAATTCGAAACTTTCAAGTGCTCGAGATTTTTGCTCGAATTATTATTTAAAAAACAGGATTCTGTTACGAAATAACCGAAACGAGGTGACACGAAAGTGCAAGGGCTTTTGAACGGTCGATTTCATAACTTCAAAATCAATCTGTCCAATTAAGTGTGACGTGAATTATGAAAAAAATGAGAATTTTACTTTTTTTACTTCCTTAGTCAAGGTCGGATAGTTGTGATTAAAACTGCCGAGTAGGATTTAAAAGGTCTCAGGTTTCATTTCCTATGTGGGGAAAGCATTGTTGGGGTTTTTCGAACGCCCTCTGTTATGTTGGTGCTTTGATTGTTATTTGATATACCTATATCTACTTCTTCGAGGTATACTATAAGATGTTCTTTCTGTATATTAATAATAAAGACTCGGTAAGGGATTATCCTTTTTTTTGCCGGCTGATGTCCCCACTTAAAGTTGTTCAACGGGCCTCTGCGAGTTGACTTCGGCCCCTCGAACGCCTTCCAAAGGTCCGGGATCCTGTGATCCCGTGAACGGAAACGAAGACTCGGTAAAAATATAAATTGTATTTATTTGTAGATTTTACAAAGTGCTGTTCCGTGCAGTAGTTGAACCCGTCTCACGTTACACGGTAGCCAGTTGTCCAGTAACCGCGTTATTGCAGTCTATAGTATTTTAATTTACAGTTTAGGGAGGTATTCTATTCCGGATTGTGCAGTAGTTGATCAGACTAACAGCCCATGGAGGAGAATAACATTTTCCTTTTAAATTTTGTTTTATCTTAATTTTTACCTTATCACAGTTGAAGGAGATGTCGTATAAGCATTCAGTTTTCTTTTTTTTTTGGGAAAAACATCAACAAAATGTCTTACCCCTATAGTGTATGGCATATGTCTTTTACTTAATACGAAATAGTATACACATATCTTCTTTATACCAGCTCTTAAAGATTGCGATACCGTTGCCAATCGAACCATGGTTATAGTAATGTCTATGCACGCAAGCTAGCGTGCTTCGTCCCTACGTGTTTTTCTATTGAGTCATTCACAGGATGCTCGACAATTCACTTTTACGTCTGAAACAAAGTTTGACTGCATTGTTGGCGCGATGGCTGAGCAACTGGCTGCCTATTGTCGTCACCTAATTCTAAAGACAACCTAGATTTATTTTAAATTAAATAGGTTTAAGTAGATTATAAGATACGATGGGACTGACATATACTCTGTATAAATATAGTAAAGAGAAAAAATATACTGACTGCTGCTGCGCAACGTGTCGCGGGTTCGATTCCCGGATGAACTCTTTGTGTTATCTAGACAACAAATTGTTGTTCTGGGTCCGGGTGTGCTGTGTATGTGAAGTTGTATGTTTGTAAAAGCACCCACAGCACAGGAGATAATCCTAGTGTGAGGCTATATTTTCATTGATAAAAAGAAATATAAAAAAGTAAGTAATTTGTAGATGAGTAACGCAGCTGTAATACAGATATTACAGCTGCTATAAGGAAGGTAGTAAATAATACTAAGGGCACTAATTGCAAATCTCTGTACCGACTTTCATTCGCAAGAACAACGACATGAATAAAGATTTGAGTTTAAAAGTCAAGAAAATATTTCTTGAGCTAGTTGATTAATCTGGCTGTCTGAGATTATTGTGTTGTTCAACAATTTTGAAATCAAATCCGATATTAGGCAATACTACAACTTCTCATTACAATAGAGCTTCAAGTATAGTTAACGAATAGTGGGTGTAACATATAATATATTATACTTAGGTACATCTTCATCATCATTATACATGTTGGTATGTAATATTGTTAAAAACAATCAACGCAATGGAAACGCCATTATTATTTTCATCAAGGATCATTATTCGAAACAAAGAAACATCACTGCTAGAACTAATAAATGTAACTTTGATTGTAATAATAATTAACAGTTTCTTCTGAATGGATGTTACAAGTGATTTCATAAACTAAGTAGATTTTAATTTCATTTGTAAGTTTCGAAATTTTTGATAAGTAATCGTAAATGATGGTATTTGTGGGTGGAAGATGGGTTATTTGTTTTGGTAATCTGGTTTTAGACGAGACAAGAAACAAAGTGCGACTTTTCCATAGGAAAAGACGAAATCTTTATATATTATGAATTACTTTCAAGGGGAAAAATTGTAGGTACTGATCTTATATGCAATTTATAGACAACAAAAACACAACTTATAAGTCAACAATAATTTTAAATAACAGAGTAGGCACCTTGTAATCCGAATGCCGTCCTAGGAGTGGTGAGGCGGAGTTTGACCCTCACTGACTAAAAACTACCCTGTTTATTCTCCTATTCCATGCCGGGGCTACAAAAACGAGGTCTAAGTAAATTGTTTAAAATTTATGGCAATAGACTAGTCTGGACAAGACTGGTTGTGACAATTCTACTTCTCTACGTAACACTGAGTGTCATTCAGATTAGCCTTCCAAAAATCTAAAAAATACACAACTATAATTCTAAACTTGACCAACAAAAGTATTCATTTTAATTGAGTTTCATGAAGTGAAAAGCCGTATTAAGTAATCAACTGGCTTATCATAACATCCAGTAGGTAATTATGTAAATACGTTATGTTACGCCCTAAAGCGGACGAGCCTAGTTTATAAGGAAAATGTTATTAAAACAGGATTTGATACGTCAAGGTTTATTAGCGAAAAAATATTGCATATCTAGTTATGTACATACATAGTATACTTCGTTACTGTAGCGTTGTAATCTGCACTATCATTATTGTATCGTGTGTGTATCTGATTATAGTTTATCGAATGTACCTATGTATTAAATGTTAGGAAAAATATTTAGTTTTTATTCCGCGACAAAAATCCAGGCTTGTTGCAGGATGCACTACACTCCTATGCAATCATGCATATGAACATGCAGCAAAGGTTCCACCTCCCGCGAGCTCACGAGCGCTCGTCGAGTCAACATCTGTGGAGGGGCAAAACACGAGGCGAAATAGTGTGTGTATCACGTATTTATTTATATACATTTGTAAGTTGCATATCTTACAAAAATGTAAAAGTGCATTCAGTATTTTTTCTACTGAGCAAGATTTGCAGTAAGAAAAAGTAGCTAGTACTTATAAATAAAAATTGGTTTATTTTGCATGGTTGATAGATTATAAGTATTGAAGCGAATTAGTAAATACTTTTTGTACAGTTAATTAAGGATTATAAATATAAGTAAGTAAATAGCTTGTAATCTATAAATTCTTAAAATAAAAGTTATCAAATAAAATGCTATTTTTAAATGATTTGGAAGAGGTTAACGATAATTTATACAAACAAATTAACTAAGTAAATAGGTAACTAGCTTAATTCACCTGATGTTTATAAAACTGAAATATATGTACCTATGTGAGTTAATTTTATTGAGCCGATTAAGATAAGTATCACCATAACATATGTATCTACTAAGTTAATTCTAGAAAACACTTGTAAACATTTTCTTCTGTTAAGTTTCCAAAAACAAATTTAAATTAACCTACATTTAAAAGATAAACGTTTCTCTATTAAACGAAATTACCTACATTGTGATGAATTTTTATGCAAAAATAAGCTGAATTATTTTGTCCTAATTTTGACATTAATATACTCATTCATGTCCATAATATAACAAAATATGTGTCAATGTAGGCGCCGGTGAGCAAGGGTAGTTCGCACCCGATCAGAACCAGA